CTATAATCTACTTTGAATCCAGTCTTCAGTGATCAACAATAACAGCAATGACTTTGAATGCATGAGCCAAATGATGATTGCTGTTCACTAATGGACTGAAATCACCATATTCTAAAATATTTACTGTCACTCCCCCTCTTCATGGAGGAACGACACTAAACCCTGCCTAGGCTTCATATCCGAGTCACGGCACCGAGTCACTCCTCTTCGCGGAGGAATGACACAGGACCCTGCGCTGTTCTTTTGTCTGCTCGGCCCTCCCCAGGTTTGCTGCTGGTTCTTCCCGGGTTGGCTACCGACCCTTCCACCTCCGTGGAAGGGCAGTTCCCCCTGCCACTTTCCCCACTTCCACGGGGGAGCGGCACACCGCCGGCCGGCTCTCTCGGGGGCTGCTCAGGTGTTCCTTCAGATAGATGTTCCCTTTAGATGTTCCTGGTGCATGTTGTCTCTCTCCTCCTTTATAGTCCTCTTCCACCAATCCCAACTCTGCTACCCACATGCCGAGTACGCTGTTCTCCTCCAATCAGGAGCAGGTCCTACAGTTTATTGGTTGAACTGGAGGCAGCTGTGTAGAAGCTGTTTCCTCCTCTCCCAGCGCCATATTGTGGGAGAGCAGATGCATAGAATAAGTCTTAATTCGAGTAACTTAGTCTAGTCCGAGTTGCTCCCCACAATTTACCAAACATTTCCTATCTGTAGGTCTTAGAAGAGCTAAGGCTTATTTGAAACGTTAAATCTTTGTTTATCCTTGTACCTCCCCAGCCGGTTTTCTCTTTCTTTTCTTGGTTTCTGTTGGCATGGAATATCTTTTTCCAACCTTCCACTTTCAGTCTGCATGCATCTTTGTTGGAAAGATGTGTTTCTTGTAAGCAGCAAGTAGATGAGTTTTGTTTTTCAACCCATTCAGCCAGTCTGTGTCTTTTAGCTGGAGAGTTGAGGCCATTTACATTCAATATGACAATTGATAAGTAGAGATTTTGCCCTGCCATTTTTGCAAAGATATTTCTAATATATGCTTTGAACTTCCTGTGATCTTTTACTGGGAGGTTTTCTTCCTTTACCTTCTTATTTATTTATTTATTTTTTTTTATTTTTTTTTTTTGACAGGCAGAGTGGACAGTGAGAGGGAGAGACAGAGAGAAAGGTCTTCCTTTGCCGTTGGTTCACCCTCCAATGGCTGCCGCGGCCAGCGCGCTGCGGCCGGCGCACCGCGCTGATCCGATGGCAGGAGCCAGGAGCCAGGTGCTTTTCCTGGTCTCCCATGGGGTGCAGGGCCCAAGCACCTGGGCCATCCTCCACTGCACTCCCTGGCCACAGCAGAGGGCTGGCCTGGAAGAGGGGCAACCGGGACAGAATCCGGCGCCCCGACCGGGACTAGAACCCGGTGTGCCGGCGCCGCTAGGCGGAGGATTAGCCTAGTGAGCCGCGGCGCCGGCCCCTTTACCTTCTTTCATATTGATGGTCATGTTTCTGTATTTCTGTGTAACACATCTTTAAGCATCTTTTGCAGGCCTGGCGAGTGGTGACAAATTCTTTCAATTTCTGTTTGCTATGAAAGGTCTTTATTTTATTTTATTTTATTTTATTTTATTTTATTTGACAGGCAGAGTAGACAGTGAGAGAGAGAGACAGAGAGAAAGGTCTTCCTTTTCCTTTGGTTCACCCCCAATGGCTGCTGCAGCCGGCATGCTGTGGCCGGTGCACAGTGCTGATCTAAAGCCAGGAGCCAGGTGTTTCTCCGGGTCTCCCATGTGGGTGCAGGGCCCAGGGACCTGAGCCATCCTCCACTGCACTCCCTGGCCACAGCAGAGAGCTGGACTGGAAGAGGAGCAACTGGGTCAGGACCGGCGCTCTGACCTGGACTAGAACCTGGTGTGCTGGTGCCACAGGTGGAGGATTAGCCTATTGAGCTGTGGCGCCGGCCGAAAGGTCTTTATTTCACCTTCATTCACAAATGAGAGTTTTGCAGGATATAATATTCTGGGATGGCAGTTTTTTCTCTTAGTACTTGGGCTATATCTCACTATCCCCTCCTAGCCTGTAGGGTTTCTGATGAGAAGTCTGTTGTGAGTCTAATTGGAGATCCTCTGAGAGTAATCTGGCGTTTCTCTCTTGCACATTTTAAAATCTTTTCTTTATGTTTCACTGCGGTGATTTTTATTACAACGTGTTATGGTGAGGATCTATTTTGGTCATGTTTATTAGGGGTTCTATGAGCTTCCTGTACTTGGATGTCTTTTTCTTTCTCCAAACCCCAGAAGTTTTCTGCTAGCATCTCACTAAAAAGGCCTTCTAATCCTTTCTCTCTCTCCATGGCTTCAGGAACTCCTAGAACCAGAATGTTGGGCTTTTTAACAGTATCCTGTAGATTCCCAACAATATTTTTTAGATTTCTAATTTCCTCTTCTTTTCTTTGGTTTGACTATACTTTCCTATGCTCTGTCTTCTAAGTCTGATATTCTCTCTTCTGTTTCACTGACTCTGTTTTTAAGACTCTCAACTGCGTTTTTTATTTGTTCTATTGAATTCTTCATTTCATTTTGATTCCTCCTTAAGATTTCATTTTCATGAGAGAGATTTTCTTTCATGTCCTGCATGGATTTCAGTAGTTCATGCGTTTGTGTTTGATTACTTCTAAGTATTCTTATCATCAATTTTTTGAGTTCCATTTCTTGCATTTCTTCTATTTCATTGTCTTCATAATCTTGTATTGAGGTGTCATGTTGTTTTGGGTGCATCACGTTGTCTTCCTTGTTCTTGTTTCCTCGGTTTCTGCATTGTTTGGCATTTGTGGAGATACAGTATAGTTTCTTACCCCCTCCCCACCCCGTGGTGGCTTTTCTCATTGTGCTCTGACGCTGTAGATAAGTGGACTGTCTGCTTTCACTGAATCTCTAGAGGCTTGTGGTGGGTGTGGCCAGAGAGCTCTGTTCAGTTTTTCAGGGTTAAGGGTGTGCCAAAAGTGACACACCCAGGTTTGGTGTGGTAAATCTCTCTCTTTTTTTTATTCAGAAGGGAAGTATTTCTACAAAGCTGAGCTATTCTCCTTGAAGGCAGTCAGTGTCTGAGCGCTGGCCCCTGTGGGTATAATATTCATCTGCTCTGTCCCAAGGACCATGCAAAGGATCTGTGCAGTCCTCAGCATAAGCTCAGATTCCCTTGCAATGTCTCTCTCCGGGTAGCCAGGGCCGCCCGAGCTTGTGGCGTCTCCTGCCAAGACTACTCATGTCTCAGCCACACTGTGAGTTCTCTCACACACCCTCAGGTTTTTTTTTTTTTCACAGTCCCAGTTCATAAGCTCCACATATAGGTCTCAGTCTCTTGTTATTACTCCTCACCAAAGTCAGGTTTTTCTGCTCAGCTGATTGCCAGACACAGCCCCAAGCTGGCTCAGCTGTTACGTATGTCCAAAATGGTGCCTGCTATATTGTCTCGATGCCTTTGTAAGGTGAGTAGAGAGAGAGAATCGTGTCCACACCGTCCCTTTTATTTTTTCTCTCCTCTAGTTAGGGTGGTGTACTTTCCTCCAGGGGGCTTCAAGCCTGTTCCCTCTAGGCTCTTCCTGCCACTTGTTTGCCCGTGTCTCAGGCTACTGCAGTTTTGTCTCACCTCTTTTTCCAGCGCTGGTGTGGAGGCTTTCGACAGCTGGGGTCCCAAGCTGAGAGCACCCATGCCCTCCACATAGGTGCACCGTGTCCCTCTAATTATGGAAGAGTTCTTCTGCCATTTTTTCCTTAACTCTTCCCTGAGACTACACTATTTCCACTTTTATTAAGCTATCTTCTGTACTATATCAGTAAACTCCCTCCCTTTTCCGCCATCTTGGAGACGTCTCTCTCTGATTCCTTTCTAAAAAGTTTATTTATTGGAATATGGGTGCCAGTTGGAGTCCTAACAGCTCATTTCCCACCCAGCTTCCTACAGATATGCCTGGGAAAACAGCATAAGATGGTCCAAGTGCTTTGGCCCCTGCCACACATATGGGAAACCCAAAGGGAGCTGCTGGCCCAGCCCCAGCAGTAGCAGCCATTTGGGTAGTGACTCAGCAGATGCAAGATCACTCTCTCTGTCTCTTCCTCTCTCTAAACTCTGCCATTCAAACAGATAAATCTTTTTTTTTTTTTTTAAAGAAGTATTCCATTTCACTGCAAAGGAAACTATTCTCATGTTTAGGAGACACACAACTTTCTTTGCTTCTGCTTTATGCATTTTACAGGTGGGGTCTTTAGACTTGAACTTTTCAAAACTCAATTTGATCCTTCTAAGATTGCCTTTTCTAAAATCTACTAGCAGTGTGCACAGTTTTGTCACTGGAGAAAAGAGCCATGGAAGCCATGGGATTCTTGTCTTCATGCAAGAAAGAATTCAGGCGTGAGACAGAGAGTTAAGTAATAAGGTTTTATTGATGATAGGGCATCCAAGTGCCCAGTCACTCGGAGTGGGGGAGAGCGAGGTTACATGGTTGAATGGAGAGAAGACAGCTGGGCAGGCCAGGTGTGTGGCTCAGCAGAGAGCAGAGGGCTGAGTGTGCAGTCTTTGTCTAGACTCCTGGTTTTTAGGGAGTTTCTTTACCCCTCCCCCTCCCCCTCCTGGACAAAGGATGGGGAGCCTGGTGGAAGTGTTTGTTGGGTGCAAATACAAAAAATTCCTTTCCAAGTTTACCTCAGAGGTTGTCAGACAGGGGACGCCTTGCTGGGCCAGCCAAGGGGCTTCTTTCTCTCTAGGGCGCCCTCCTTAGAGGAAAGATGTTTATCAGGCCAAGTAGAAGGGGCGGGACCACCTGGAAGGTTATCAGGGTCTGGGCAGGAGTCTGAAGTGCAGATGCTGGACTGCTCTAGATGTCAGTTTCCTTAGGCCCTTACACACATAAGCTAATTTCTAACTTCCTGCCTGACAGCCCCATGGCTGTGGAAAGAAAGAATATCTGCTCAAATAGCTTAATTTCCCACGATGAAGGAAAGGCCTCCCAGAGACATTTAGAAAAACGAAACCAAGCTGGCAAAGGTATAAGCCATTTATTTTATTTCCATTTCTAAAATGAATGTGAATTTATTGATTGCTTTGATATTTAAAATAGTGTAAAATCGTCTCAGAAAATATATTACATTTATTAAAAGACATACAAACTATTGCAGCAAATCCTATTATGAAATCATCTGACCAAGTTAACAGTTGTTTGCAAAGCACTTGTGGTGATGTACATGGTCTCCTTAGTTGCAAAGAACCAAGACATTCTTGGGACAGGAGTGGAATTTGATCAGAATTGTCTAAAAAACAACCCTTGTCCACTTCTTTGTGGACTCACTGATTATTTGATTTGGGGCCCACGGTTGCACTTATGCGAGTCTACATAATTATATAAGATTCTCCTGGTCCCAGTAAACCCATTCAAGGACTTGACCATATAGGATTCCAGCGCTTCAGGCCAGGGCGTTAACCCACTGCCCCAAAGGGCCGGACCCAAATAAGACAATTTGAAAAATCTTCAAGTCACTGAATAAAGTAAGGCTTGGGGGTAATGGTGGAATTCAATTGTGAATGCCCACTGTTTCCTTTGAAGGATGAGTTCAAAGCTGTTTGTTTTATTTTGCTTTTGATTTGTGGACAGACAACAGAAAATGATTAAAATGGAAATGAATCAACTTTACCTAGAAACAAGGTTATCCCTTCTTCCCATTAGTATTTTAAATGTAAAATCAAAGCCTTAAATCATTCAAGTCATTTAGCTTTCTACTGCCAGCCCATCCTATTTCACAGCATACCCATAGACGTGAGGTTGCACAAACACACAGGACAGTGTGGCCTGAATGTGCTGCAGCTTCAGCCTCGAGAAGCTGGCCCTCTCCAGGGCCTTCCAGCTCTCTCTGGTAATATCACAGCCGTCGAACAGTAGGAACCAAGAAGGAGCCACAACCTGCTGCCAGAAATAATTCCAGGTGGAACGCTCGGCTGATACGTGCTCCAAGAAGTAAAATGCCCCTCCCTGAGAGAGAAAAAATGCAATGCAAGGATTTTGGATTTAAGAAAAAAATAGATTTATCAGTTGATTGAAGCTTCAAATGTTGGTGATCCTAGAGGCCAACTTCGTAGAAGACATGGATACATTTAAATGACATCAGATACCATTTTGGTCACATTTATATGGAGCCGTCAATCTAAAGTAATTAGTGTGTATTGCCTGATCACAGAAGTAACCACGTAATGCTAGCTACAATGTAAGGCATTTACTGCATGATGAGGGATGTCCTTAGTGTTTCTCGCACTGTTGGTGGGAATGCAAAGTAGTAAAGCCACTATGGAAAACAGTTTGGAGATTCCTCAGAAACCTGAATATATATATATATCAGAAACCCTACCACATGACCTAGCCATCCCACTCCTTGGAATTTACCCAAGGGAAATTAAATTGGCAAGTAAAAGAGCTTTCAAAACCTCAATGTTTATTACAGCTCAATTCACAAGAGCTAAGACATTGAATCAACCTAAATGCCCATCAACAGAAGACCGGATAAAGACATTATGGGATATGTACTCTATAGAATACTACACAGCAGTTAAAAAAAATAAAATAAAATCCGGTCATTTGCAACAAAATGGAGGAATCTGGAAAAGATCATGCTGAGTGATAAGTCAGTCACAAAGGGACAAATATCCTATATCCTTCCTGATCTGTGACAACTAACTGAGCACCTAAAAGGAAACCTGTAGAAGTGAAACTGACACTATGAGAAACAATGACTTGATCAGCCCTTGTCCTGACTGTTGAGGAACAACTTACTATTTTATTCCTTTTAGTATTTTTTGTTCTACTTAATACCATTGGTTGAACTCTTTAATTAACACACAATTATTCTTAGGTGTTTAAATTCAACTGGAAAGTGATCCCTGTTAAATATAAGAGTGGACTTAAGAGAGGCAGGAGATGTACAGCTCGGCACTTGCTCACTCGGACTTACCCCTAATGGTAGATCTAGAAACGTGCCATAGGACTCCAAATCCCATTAAGTTGGCAGGTACCAATGCCATTTTACTAGTTAAAGTGATTGGTTTCATCATAATTAATCATAATAATAGTATTAAGTGTCAAAGGGACCTCATAAGTAAAAACAGTGTCTGCTAATAATAATTGATAGAATTAAATAGGAGAGAACAATCCAACCTGGGAAGCGGGATACACAGCAGACGCCTAGAATGGCAAATGCCTTCAACAGCACTCTGGTCTCAGAATCAGCCCTTAAGGCATTTCAGATCTGCCTAAAAAGCCCATGAGTTTCTCAGGCATGGAAAGCCAAGACACTGTGTTAAAAAATGACTTAAATGAAAGATGTCTGTTAGTGAGATCCCAGTGGAAAGAAGGGGCCATCAAAGAAGGAGGTATCTTTCTCTGAAGGGACGAGAGAACTTCCACTTTGACTATGACCTTGTCTAAATAAGGTCAGAGTTTGTGAACTCAAGAAGCTTCCATAGCCTTGGCAGTTCATGACAAGAGCCTCGGGTGATTACTGGCATCATAAATAAGAGTGTCAATTGTTAAATCAACAATAGTGGGAGTCACTGTGCACTTACTCCCCATGAAGGATCTCTGCCCTTAATGTGTTATACTATGCAAATTAACAGAAAAACTAGTACTCAAACAGTACTTTATATATAAAAATAAATTTATATTTATTAAATAATTTTTTTAAAAAAGAAGGACCACCGGTAAAAGAGTAGAAATATGGAAGTCAGAGAGCTGGAAAACCTCGGTGACAAGCACTATGGTGTGGTGGTAAGAGTAGTCGCATCGGGGCAGCGCTGAAGTGGGTAAAGCTGCCGCCTGCAGTACTGTCAGAGTCCTGAATGCTCCACTTCCCATCCAGTGTTCTGCTATGGCCTGGGAAAGCAGTAGAAGATGGCCCAAGCCCTTGGGCCCCCTGAACCCGTGTGGGAGACTCTGATGAAGTTCCTGGCTCCTGGCTTCGGATCGGCCCAGTTCTGGCCATTGTAGGCATTTGGGGAGTGGACCCGGAAGACCTCTCTCTCTCTCTCTCTGCATCTGCCTCTCTGTAACTCTGACTTTCAAATAAATAAATAAATCTTTTAAAAAAAAAGAGTAATTGCAATAATGAGAGTCAGAAGGATTAGCTGTGTGACTTCGGGCAAAGTTCTTGGTCTCTCTGAGTCTGCGTCTTTGTCCCACCATGAAGATAACAATACCTGCTTCAAAGGACTGTTGTGAGAGTCCAGTGGTGATGTAATAAAGCTCCTGGTTCTGTCTGCAGAAAGGACGCTTTGCAGGAGTGAAGGGAGACCACCAGGACTATGATGCCTGTAAGAGTTACATGGGTGTTGCTACATGGAGAGATAATGGTTACTGCCTGCGGGGGTGAGGGGAGACCAGTAACACCATCAGTAGTGTGCCCACTCTTAGGGCACAAGAACCCAGCCTCAGGGTTAGATGATCAGCCCTTTTTCGCTCATTCCTTAGATACTGGCCTCGTCATGAGCCAAAGATAGTTTTGTATTGTCACCTCTAAACCTTGTCTCCAAGTTCTTTGTCCTGAGGAATTTGCACCATTAGACATTGAGCTGGAGATGGCATAATGTCCTTTTCCCTTAGAATAAATTCAGATGTTGAGATTTCCATGGTTTATGTTCAACTTGGTTCAGAATAAAAACACTTCACACTAATTTTAAATAAATTTTAAGAAAAGTGTTGTGTGGCCCAGCGCTGCGGCTCAATAGGCTAATCCTCTGCCTGCGGCGCCGGCACCCCAGGTTCTAGTCCTGGTCGGGGTGCCGGATTCTGTCCCGGTTGCTCCTCTTCCAGTCCAGCTCTCTGCTAAGGCCTGAGAGTGCGCTAGCCACAGCAGCCATTGGGGGGTGAACCAACAGAAAAAGGAGGACTTTTCTCTCTGTCTCTCTCTCTCACTGTCCACTCTGCCTTTAAAAAAAAAAAAAAAAAGAAAAGTGCTATGTGACCAGCACCACGGCTCACTTGGCTAATCCTCCGCCTGCAGCACTGGCACCCCGGGTTCTAGTCCCGGTTGGGGCTCCGTATTCTGTCCTGGTTGCTCCTCTTCCAGTCCAGCTCTCAGCTGTGGCCCAGGAAGGCAGTGGAGGATGGCCCAGGTGCTTGGGCCCTGCATCCACATGGGAGACCAGGAGGAAGCACCTGGCTGCTGGCTTTGGATCGGCTCAGTGCGCTGGCCATAGCAGTCATTTGGGGGGTGAACCAACAGAAGGAAGACCTTTCTCTCTTTCTCTCTCTCTCAAAGTCTAACTCTGCTTGTAAAAAAAAAAAAAAAAAAACCAAATTAATTAAAAAATAAATTAATTAATTAAAGAAAAGTGCTATGTGAAAATTAGATGCAAGGATAAAGAATTGGAGACTTTCTAGGAGGTGTAAATGAAAAGTGATTCCTCCCCTGCATGTGATCCCATTCCCAGGAGGAAAGCGCACTCACCGGCCTCAGCACCCTGCACACCTCGCGGAGGATCTGCTCCTGGTTCTTCACGGAGCACAGCACCAGGGTACAGACCACCACATCCACAGAGCCATCGGCCACCTGATGCATGTTTTCCCCAGGGGCCACCACAAACTGCTCGAACTGCAGATGCCGGTTCTCGGCAACGCTTTTGATCAAGAACTTCTCAAAGTTGGGGTTGGGGTCAACACAGGTCACCCTGCATCCCGGTGGGTAGAACTTGAAGTTGGTCCCGGTGCCACAGCCCACCTCCAGCAGGGACAGCTTCCCAGAGGGGCCTGCAAACTCCTGCAGGGTACTGAAGAGCTCCCGCTTCTTGCTTGCCATCTGTTCATTGTATATCACAGAAAACTTCACCATGAAGTAGGGGAACCATCTTTTGCAGAACCAGTTCCACACGCCCAGGAAGTGTAGCACATACATGGGAGATGCCAGAGCGCAGACAACCAGCCTCAGGATAAAGATGGCAATCGCCATCCTGCAGAAGAGAAAAATAACCGATCAGCAGTTACAGAGCTGGGGCCGGCGCAGTGGTGCAGGGTTAACGCCCTGGCCTGGAGCACTGGCATCCCATATGGGTGCCGGTTCGGGTCCCGACTGCTCCACTTCCGATCCAGCTCTCTGCTGTGGCCTGGGAACACAGTGGAGGGTGGCCCAGGTCCTTGGGCCCCTGCACCCACATGGGAGACCTGGAGGAGGCTCCTGGTTCCAGCCTTCGGATTGGTGCAGTTCCAGCCATTGTGGCAGTTTAGGGAGTGAACCAGTGGACAGAAGTCCTGTCTCTCTCTTTCTCTCTCTCTCTCTCTCTCTCTCTCTCTCTCTCTGTGCCTCTCCTCTCTCTGTGTAACCCTGGCTTTCAAATAAGTAAATCTTTAAAAAAAATAAAAAAAATACAGACCTGTCTTCTTTAACTGCCAGTTGCTGGTAGTTTTCTGATCCTGTTACAGATCCAATCAGCAGCAGAGGACAGAACTGGTTGTGCCACACAAATGGAGCTCAAGGTAGTGCTGACTTGTATTTCAGTTTTCCAGGTGGTGACACAATACATACGTAGTGTGATTCTTATGAGATAATGACATATAAAGTAGGTAGAGTGGCCAGTGCATCATCAGCACTCAGACTTAGCTAGCACTGCTTTGTCCAATATGCACCAATCTTCCCCTACAAGCTTGCTCTTTCTCCTCTCTTCTATATATATCAGTGGAAGACAAAAGCCTTCATCCGGTTACACACTCAGGAAACCTAGGCATCGCCTATGATTCCTCTTCCTTCCTTTTCTTTTCTTTTCTTTTTTTTTCTTTTTTTTCTTTTCTTTTTTTTTTTTTGACAGGCAGAGTGGACAGTGAGAGAGAGAGACAGAGAGAAAGGTCTTCCTTTGCCGTTGGTTCACCCTCCAATGGCTGCCGCAGCCAGTGCGCTGCGGCCGGTGCACCGCGCTGATCCAATGGCAGGAACCAGGTACTTCTCCTGGTCTCCCATGGGGTGCAGGGCCCAAGTACTGCCTTCCCGGGCCACAGCAGAGAGCTGGCCTGGAAGAGGGGCAACCGGGATAGAATCCGGCGCCCCGACCGGGACTAGAACCCGGTGTGTGCTGGCGCTGCAAGGCGGAGGATTAGCCTAGTGAGCCGCGGCGCCGGCCAGGAACCCCTCTTCCTTCCTTTTCCCAGTCACTTGATTCCAAGCCCCCAGTATTTCTGGACTCCATCTCCTCTCTAGTTCTACGGAACTAGGCTCATAGTCTGATTGGTGTTGCTAAGTTTACTTTTTTCAAATCAACTCTGAACGTTTTCTTTTTCCTTTTACGTTTTCCCCTCACATAGAATACAAATGGAAAATAGTACATAAAATGAAATGACCAACATAACATATAGCAATAGATTGAGCACATGAAATTATTATGGTGGGGAAGAAGAGTGTGGGCATTTTAGAAGGCCCTGAAGTTTCCTTTCCTGACCATAGCCTCTATGTTGTCCACAGGTAGGTATTGTGAGTTTTACAATCATGGTTTACTTCCTAGACCATCTGGGTATTTACCCCGAATGGTGTGAAGTTGTCTGATTCTTAGTTTTCTATAATTTAGGCATCTTTCCAATTGCCACCCTGACTAGACCTGACAACTCCCCCGCTTAAACCTTTCACTGACTCACCTCATCTTGTTACCCTGTAGCTCACAATCATTACAAATCTCTTGGGGATATGTTTTGTGTTGTTGTATTAGTTCTAACTACATGTCCCAGAATTCATTTCCCTGCATACTTTTGGATTAGTTTGGCTCATAAGAATTATTTTGGGCCATGCCACGGCTCACTAGGCTAATCCTCTGGCTGTGGCACTGGCACCCAGGGTTCTAGTCCTGGTCGGGGCGCCGGATTCTGTCCCGGTCGCTCCTCTTCCTGTCCAGCTCTCTGGTGTGGCCCGGGAGTGCAGTGGAGGATGGCCCAAGTCCTCGGGCCCTGCACCTGCATGGGAGACCAAGAGAAGCACCTGGCTCCTGGCTTTGGATCAGCACAGTGCGCTGGCTGCAGTGGCCATTGTGGGGTGAACCAACGGAAAAGGAAGACCTTTCTCTCTCTCTCTCACTGTCCCTCTGCCTGTAAAAAAAAAAATAATAATTATTTTGCAGGAGATTTGGAAGGTGAAAGTTGAAGAGGCAGCAGCTGTAATCTTTTTACTCTTGGAAGGTTGAAGGCTTGGTACAGCCACCAGATGCTGTGCCAGCTGGTAGAAACTGCCGTTGACCTGGTGCCTCACTGTCCATGGCTGGGCAGCAGCCAGGCTCACAGCTCCTGTTGGTCTCCTTATGGATCTTCTTTATCTTCACTGGTTCCTGACCCAGCTTTGTTTGCCTCTGTGATGTAGGGTACTTGATTCTCTTGTTCTCTGTGATACAAGTTCCTGTCTTTTTGGGTTCCAGCTCATGCTTGCAGATTCCAGTGTATCTCGTCTTCCCATCGGTGGACCTGCTGCAGCAATAACTTCACATGGACTGTTGGCTCCTCAGATTGGTTATCTCTGTAGTAAATATGATGTAATACATCCCCCCTTTAAATTTAAGCAATACAAGTTTCGTGCATTTAATATATACAAATTTGGGAACATGGGGATTCTTCCTCCCACCTCCCTCCCACCCATACTCCTACCCTTCTTCCTCCTCCCTCTCCCTTTCCCATTCTTATTTTTTACAGAGATCAACTTTCAGTTAATTTTATACTCATAAGATTAACCCTGGGCACCTCATATGGGCGCTAGTTTGAGACCCGGCTCACCTCTTTTCCTCCTAGGAGACCAATACCTGGGTACTAACCCCAGGGGTTACAATATTCATCCAGGCTGCCAGAAGAACCACACAAAGGATTTCACAACAATGACTCTCACCAGGGAATCTGGGAAGCCCAAGTGTGTGGAAACACCCACGGTGATTGCCCAAAGACCCAGCCACACCCTGACCTCTCACACAGCCACAGTGTTCCCACAGTCCCAACACACAAGGTTCCCAAGGTCATGAACACTCAGTGCTCTGTCAGTTCTCCTAGCCAGACTCAGGCATCTCCTCTTGGCTGCTTTCTGGACACATGGACACGAGCTGGTGCAGCTGTTACATATGTCCAAAATGGTGCCCGCCCTCTCTCGGCTAGTTATAGGATGTTGGTGCCTGGTGGTCGGGGAGAGAGAAATGTGCTCCCTTTTTCCCTCTAGGTTGGCAGTAAACTGTCCCCCACAGGGCTCCAAGCCGGACTCATGCCAGGTTCTTCAGGCAGCTTTATCGCCAGTGGCTTGCGCTGCAGCAGTTTGGCCTCACCTCCCTCTCCAAAGCTGGAGCTGAGGCTCTCGGCTGCTGGGGTCCTGAGTTGCGTGCATCCACATCCTCCATGGAGGTCCACAGTGTCCCTCTCGTTTGCGTGGAGTTTCCTCTGCACTTTTCTCCCTACCTCTTCCCTGAGGTTGCACTCTCTCCCCTTTTCTCAAACTATCTTCCCCCAGACCTGAGCTGTAAGCTCTCTCCCTATTCCGCCATCTCAGAAACTCCCCTCAAGCCTGTTTCTTGTCCCGGAAACTGTACTTTTGGAACTAAAAAGCTGTTTTTTTTATTTTAGTTTTTTTTTTTTATTCCAAGGAGATAAGCCAAAGGGAAGTTAAAAAATGATACAAAGATGACCATAGCTGTACTATATATGAGGAAAAGCTAAACAGCTGAAATGATTAAAAACAGAAAAAAAGACTGTCACTATCAAAATTGTCGTAATACAAAGTGTTAATACTCACAATCTAAATATGAAATGTTATCTGACAAAAGCAACAGCATTAAACTGCCAACTGATTTTTTTTCTGAAGATTTATTTATTTGAAAGGCAGAATTACAAAGAGGCAGAGGCACAGGCACAGGCTGAGGTGGGGGTGGTCTTCCATTGGCTGGTTCATCCCCAAATGGCTGCAAATGGTCAGAGCTGTACCGATCTGAAGCCAGGAGCCAACATCTTGTTCCGGGTCTCCCACTCAGGTGCAGGGGCCCAAGGACTTGGGCTGTCTTCTACTGCTTTCCCAGGCCATAGCAGAGAGCTGGATCGGAAGTTCAGTAGCTGAGACTCACACCAGCACCCATATGGGATGCTGATACTGCAGGAGGTGGCTTTACTTGGTATGCCACAGCGCTGTCCCCAACAGATTTTTTTTTTGACAGGCAGAGTTAGACAGTGAGAGAGAGTGACAGAGAGAAAGGTCTTCCTTCCATTGGTTCACCCCCCAAATGGCCACTACGGCTGGCGCGCTGCACTAATCTGAAGCCAGGAGCCAGGTGCTTCCTCCTGGTCTCCCATGCAGGTGCAGGGCCCAAGCACTTGGGCCATCCTCCACTGCACTCCTGGGCCACAGCAGAGAGCTGGACTGAAAGAGGAGCAACCGGGACAGAATCCAGCACCCCAACTGGGACTAGAACCCGGGGTGCCAGTGCTGCAGGCGGAGGATTAGCCAAGTGAGCCACAGCACCGGCCCCCAACAGATTTTAAACACATAGAATGCATGCACAAAACTTAACAGTGATATGACAATTTTGAACAATATAAATCAATCATATTTATAGTGATGGAAGCTACTTAATATAAAATCTTTGGTAAATTATCTGCACAGGACACTGCTTCCTGTAGGAAGATTAAAATCACCATGACTAAACAAACTATTCTAAGAATTATATCTAAATTTTATCATTATTTAATTATTTATTCTCAAGCATAAACTTGGCTGTTTTCCCTTAATCAAAGTTTGTTCTACTTAAGTTTGTTTTGTTTCCATTAAAGTCAGAACATTTCCTGTGTTCCATCTAATTTCTTTGTAGTTTGCATATAATTTAATTTTACTGGAAACACTTTTATCTTTCTACTCTAATCACCCTAAATACCCCTGGGCAAATGACTTAATGTACAAAAAGTGCAATGCGTAATCTGTATGTTATTGTTATCTATTCAGGTAGCATCAGGTTCTTTAATTGTTTTTCTAGTTAAAAATGGTAAGAAAGATAGGGGGCGGAGCCAAGATGGCGGAATAGTG